AATTTGCAAGTTCAAAGTGGCGGGTTCAAACCCCACTGCAGTCAGCATGTCGTTGAGTCCCTGGGCAAAACACTTCACCCCAAATTACTCCAGTCGGGATTGCCCACAGTATTGAGTATGTCATTCGCTTTGGATAAAAGCGCCTAACAAGTGACATGTAATGTAACGCTTGTTTAAATGCCCACTGTCTAATTTTTGCAAGGAGTGAGGACTTATAATACTGTTATGGAAAGAAGTGTATTAGGCCGGTAGACTGATCCCTGATTCATTTACATTTCCTTTCCGATCTTGGCATTTCCAGTAAGCGATTGCATGCATGCACACAGGTGTACAAGTGTGTGCGGCTGTGTGCTTCTTGTTGTTTTATCCATTTCCCAAAGACAGAGAGGTAGAAATGACAACATAGACAGAGGAGAGTGAAAGATGGCTCCACTTTAACAGGAAGACAGACAGGGCGGGAGTGTCTGTAGCAGTAGTAGTCACTGTGATGGGAGAGAGACGGAGAGACGGAGACACAGCGACGGGGAGACAGAGACACAGAGACGGAGAGAGGAGAATGCTGATAAACAGGAAATGTGATTGACCTGAATGTGCAGATGGGAAAGAAGGAGTGAGACAGAGAAGGAGACTGGCAGAGAGTAACTCCTTGATGGAAGAGAGTGGTCTCTGGTAGAGACAGATATAAATCTAAAGCAGCCAAGATTGACAGCCGGAGGACGAGCAGAGAAACAAAATGATGCTAAAAGCCTCAAAAAGGCATGGTGCAGGTGTTTTCATAGAGGTCTATCTATCTATACATCTATATGACTATGAGTCTATCTATATATCTACCTTCCAATACGAAATCCATGACTCATGACTTCTCACTTGTTTTATTACCTTAGTAAACATTTTCGTGTCAAGTTTATGATCTTAATTGTGTTTTTTCAAATGTTCTTCAATTATATTTATTTTGAAAACCAATGCAATTTAGAGTAACTTCTTTAAGACGGATAATAATCAGTGTTTCTACTTGAGTTTTGTACTACAGTGTTATTTCCAGCGTGAACAAAATGTCATTTTCTGGAACATTCCTTACCTGATCTGGCTGTTTTGATATTCACAGACTGGAAGCCTCCATTTAGTGCCGAGGTGTCGATGATGTCCGAGTCAAAGTCACGGTGTGTCTTGCGGTAGACGAAGAGTGCCACGATGACAGAGATGACGAGGCACATAATCACTGCGATGACAATGCCCACGTAGAGCGCCACATCATCTGTACTCGGGGCAGCTAGAGGGGACACAAACAAAGAACAGAGATGACATTACAGACACACAGATAATGTGAAGAATAAAGCAAAAATACAAGATATATGAATATAGTGCCACTTGTCTACTTAAGTGTAGGATATAAAGAGCTACATAAATGATATCTCTAGAAGCAGCAGCGCAGCACATAAAACAAGACGAGAGGAAATGTGCTGCAGGCTTCAAATAAACAAGATATGGCTCTCTGTCGTTCTTTATTTGTGTTTTAGAATTTCACATTGACCTCAGACCACCTATCATATCTGTTAAGGTTATGTTGCATTCAAATAAAACTTTCAATTAGCCCCCCAGCTTGTGTAATATGAGCATTTGTCTAGACAGAGGTAGAGAGACACAGAGACCTCTTTCATCGAAATAAAAAATGGTAGCAACTATTAAAACTTAATAAGGCTGTTAATTATTTTACAAGGGTCCTAACATCCTTTTTCAATCTGGCTGAGCCTTTAATCTTGTTTCAGTGAGAACAGCGTTGCAACTGCCATCTGTGATCCATATTTTAGAGCAGAACATTTGAACTGATGGCAAAAAGTATGAGCCGAGCTTAAGGATAAAGTGGAGAGGAAATGAGTAAATGATGAGAGGAGACTATTTAAAAGCACAAGCGAGGAATGATGAGGAGGAAATAAGAGGGAATGCCAATAAGTGGAGAGGAATATAGAGAAAAGAGGACTTCCAAGCAGATGTGGCAACAACCAAAAAGGAAAGGGGAGTGAAATAAAGAGAATAACATAAACATGTAAAAAAGAGGGAAGATGAGAGAAGAATCAAGTAGGGCACAATACAGGGCAGAGAGGAGAAGAGAGGAGAGGAGAGGAGGGGAAAGGAAAGGAGAGGAGAGGAGAGGAAAGGAAAGGAGAGGAAAGGAAAGGAGAGGAGAGGGGAGGAGAGGAGAGGAAAGGAAAGGAGAGGAAAGGAGAGGAGAGGAGAGGAAAGGAAAGGAGAAGAGAGGAGATATGATAACAGCAAGGAAGAGGAACACATTGAAAGTGGAAATTCACTTGAACTTCAAAGCAGACAAACAGAAGAAATCCTACATATTTAACATGAAAGCGCCTGTGAAACTTTTTTGAGTAGTCTTACACTTAGCCCTCCTTGTATAATCACTTCCTCTGTAGCTGGTAGGAAGGGATTTGTCTGGAGCTATTAAGAAGAAGGCATAAAAGTATAGGAATGCTCCTTTTAATCTGCCCTTAAAGTCGAGAGGCAGATAACAGGCTTCTAGCTACAAACAGCCTGAGTCATTCGCTTAAGGATTTGCTGTTGTCACATCAGAACGACTTCAGAAAGCATGAGCTAGATTATGCATGAACGAATCCTTTGATGAGGCAAACATACATTCACACTCACATATGCCTAAGCATGATACACACATTCACTGAAGAGGGGTCACACCTGATGGTGTTAGTTACTCATCTACCACTTGAGGGAGCTATGATCCACTTCCTGTGTCTCTGGGGAGCTGAGCGTGAGGGCAAAGCATTTCCCTCTTAATTAAGTGACGAATGAAATGAACCAAATGTCTAAAGGCCCAGGAGTCCAGGATATAGAATAACAGCATACACAGAAGGTTTCGAAAATCCAAGTGTTTAAAGCTTTTCTGAAACTGAATAAAATTCTGGTCAAGTAACATTATCTTCTTAGGAAAGAAACCAAATCATATTTAAGTGATAATTCGTTTACGAGATAAAGCCTATCTTGAAACTTACTGAAGCTAAATGTCAGTTTAAGAATCTATTAAAAGCTACATTAATTGTCAAAACATCACTCAGCTATTAAGATCCTTTGTATTTTAGGTTGTTTTTGCTATCATCTTGTCAATTGTGAGTATTTTCTCCTTTGTCAATATGTTATATGTGTGTTGTCTTATGGTATAGTTAACAGAATATCTTCGTCTGATGGACTGCAAAATGGGAAAACGTCTTGATTGCCCATCACGGAAATTGTGATGGCCATTTCTTTTTATGAACGGAACAGCAAATTGATTAATCAACAAGAATCGTTGTTTCCAGTTCTAACCATAACGTTCGTAACATCCGTTTAACTTTACATGTGGAAAAAGATGCTTAACAATGTGTCACATAAACCAGATTGCGTTTGGGGAAATAACACATTGTAATACTTCATGTTTACAGCTACAGAGTTTGTACTCTTTCCACCAAGATTTCTGCCAAATGCCTATTCATGAAATGTAACTCAATTTAAGAGCACAACCTTTAAATCTTGAAACATTTAACCCCTATGGATTTTTCTCTTATGCAGGTTCCTTTTGAACACATTGATATACAAATGTTCAAAAGCCTCTGCTGCATTAAGTTACCCTGTTATCAAGGTCCTTACACTTGCCAAAGGGGAATATCATTGGGTAATCCTCTTAAGAACCAACTCCCTGATCTTAATTATGATCATTCCCATCTATTTAGGGAATCTTTATCCTGTTTCTACTTTAACTTGAAGGTCTACAACTTCAGAAGACATTACGTGCCAGGCAGCCATACAATCACTTCCAAACTATTTTTCTACAGAGTGTTGTGGGACACTTAACTAGGCTATGGCTTGCTGTGTTATTGATGTAGGTGTGTTTGTGTGCTAAGTGTAACATGTTTTATACCAGCGGGCATAAAAATCTTTCTTCCCTGTCTGTTGGTTAACATCCCATCCCTCACAGATTTTATTCTCACTCCATAACTCACACCTCTCTCTCCGACTCCCTGCGTCTCTGTCTCCATCTGTTTGATTTGTAGATGAATCAAACAACACGTCCCATTAGAGCTTCTACCTGCATGACTAACCTACATATATACCAAATACCAAATGTTTTCTTTTTTCATTTTCCCTATTTTCGTGGTGTTTTTCTGTCCTACATTTCCTTTATTTCATTCACCTTACACGTACATGTCACATGCTGTCTAGACTTTGGCAAACTAAGCAACAATCATTGCCAAATCGTGTTAGCAACAACACTACAACATGTCTATTTGCAATTTCTACCATATAAGTGATTTATGCAAAAAGTAAAGAACAGCCCCAATGTTTAAGACATTATTGAACCAATCATTTATGTGTAATCCAGTGCCTATGTAACTGATAACTGGACTAAAATGAGGTTTGACGGGAAACAATGGAAACACAAACTCATTTATATGGTGTGTGAATACACCATTGAAAGACTTTTGCTGCATTAACCTGTGATACAATTTCCTGAATGGATTGACCTTACATTTGAGCTTGAACATAAAAAAAATCCGCTTTTTTTCTCTGAATGCTCAAAGAAATGTTTCGAATTGAAGTGAAAAAAACTCATTTTATCTCTGTGCTCTGTATTCACTACTTCTTTAGTCTTTCCTTTTATTGAGCCTCTATATACAAAAACACCAATGCACTGCTTTAGTTCTGATGATAATTCATAGTCTGAGAGCCTTACATAAAAGACTAGTCTGAAAAGAAGACTGAATGTGGGTGTGCACTTTTGACCACACCTGGATGAATGAATAATATGTTTGGACCTCTGTGTTTATCTAAGCATGGCACAGGGCTCTGCTCCGTGAAGCCTGGGTGACAAAACCTGCAGTGATAGAAAGAGGAAAGAACACATATCTGACTGGGTACCAATAGGTACACACATATGTTCATTTTCATGGGCACTCATGCGAGATCTGACTCTCACACTGATTCTGCAGGCAGTCATGAACACATCCATAATAACTTGTATCCTCCTTGTAAGTCAACAATCTGCTGTGTTTCTCCTGACAAGCAGGTCAAGTCCGAAAGCTTGGCTTAATAGGATTTAGATTAAAACTAGTGGAGCAACTGAATAAGTGATATGTCTGTGAAATGTCTGACAGTTCTCTATAGGAGGGAGACTGTTGTGTTCTAAAGGTCAGGATACCCACAAACACTAATACTGTACACAAAAATAAACTTGTGAAGGACGCTTAAAATGATCATATTGATCCATCAGTCAACTTTAAATAAGTTGACAACTGTCTGTCATGGAGGCATTTGTGTGTGAGTATGTGTATGTATGAGAGCCTGCCCTTTGAAGAACATCCTTAATCCCATAGGCAACAGTCTAGTTTCTACAACAGATGAGGTGAGATGCAATGCTGACAGTCTCTCTTTCTCACTTGCTCGATGTGTGCGAGTCGTTTTCAGAATCATTTGACAACAAACCATCTTTCCTTTGTTTTCCATGGAAATAAGTAATTGCAATTCTTTATAGTTTTGGATGACAGTGTTACCTTACAAAAGCAATATTCAGCAGTTTGTTCGTGTTCAAAGTTAAATAGTCTTTGGTTGCAAAACCAACCTTATTTTTGCCAGTGTTCACTGTGTGTACATGCCAAATTCAGTTTGTTTTGGAATAGCGTATGTGTGTGTATTTGTGCACAAACTGATGATGTGCCTCTCTGTGTCCAATAATAATAGTCATTGTAATTGGAAATACTTGATCTAAAATTAGTCACATAAAGTTGATAACTGCATGTCTGTGCCAAAGTGTTAGAGTAATAAACAATTGGGGCGGTGAAAATTCTGAGAATTGTACACACTCACTCTCTTTTCTCTCTCTCACAGCCAGTTGATTACACACACGGGCTAGTGGAACAGAAGCCTCGGCTCAACCTCAGTCAGCATGGATCGCTGTCTATCGATTGGCTGAGCTTTTTTGTCATTCTCAGAGTCTGTCCAATCTGCCATGGAGAGGATTTAAAGAAGGGGGAAACAAGGATAACTCAGCTTAGCTCATCTCTATCTTCTCTGTGATCTGCATCCAAACCAGAGCTGTGGACAATCACTACTTGAAACTCATTCAACTGCCTTTTAGTCCTTGCTTGGCACAAACATGCAAACACCATCCATGCTGCACTCCTGGCTCACAAATACGCTCCAAGTAACTGGCGCAAATGAATGGAAGAGAGACCGTCAGATAGAGAAAGTAAGCAGCCATTTGGAAATGTGTCTATCCATGTTCTGTAGTGGGGATGAATACACTTTCTTGGTGCCAAGAAATAAAATAGTGAGTCACTTAAGAGTAACTAAAGCCTGAGGGAACAAATCTATACAGCTATATAAAAAGTCATATGAATGCAAGCACGATGTAACAAACCTGCAATACAGTTCAAATGCAACTTTTTACTGAAGAAAAACTTTGAATGTAATTTGTATTATCACCTATTTCAGCGTCTGCTAGCTTTTTACGCTGGGAAAAACACTGGGAAAAAGCTGTGTCCCTCCGCACAAATCTACAGCTCAGCCACTTCCTGCCCTTCTCTTTGCCTCAAGCTTATTTGTGTGTTACTTCAAAATCTTAAAAAGAGACAAGTTTTCAGTTTTGGTAAACCACAGCCCTGTTCTTGGTGAACGCTAACTGATCGACAGACTTTGTACTGATCAAAGTACGTTTAAGACGGTCCGTTTTGTCTCAAAATCAAGAACAATTACTCAGAAGAATATGGGCATTGTCTTCATAATCCTGTTGTTGTTGTTGCATTCCCAAATAGAGAAAACTGGCTGCCATGTTTAAGAAACATAAACTCAGCAGCTGTTTATCATTATCAAGTCACTGGTATTGACCAAATACTCTATGGCCTTCCTGCAGATAGATTATGGATATTGTTCTGGTCATGGAGCCGTAGAAATATATCACATTACGCCCTTTGGGTAGCAGCTGTGGATGCAGAATCTGATTGAGCTAACAGCTATTGGAAGGCAAACTAGATATGGAGATGGTCAGTATTACATTTGTAACCTGACTCCAACATGGACATAATAATATAATTTGAATTATACATTAAACATTACATTTACATCTGTAGTCCAACTCGATGATTCTCAAAGCCACTCACGCAACCTCCAAATGTAAATGTATTGAATGTATTTTTCAATAATAACCAGAGTGACAATTTGTTAAATGAGCAATGACTGCCTCTATATCTCATTTCTGGTTCTTCTCACTGTGTCTGTATCTCACAACACACACCCGGGCGATGAAACAGCTCGAGCAGATCCTAAACGAGAGTCATTAGAACACATCACAGACGCTCATAGATTGCTTTGAAGATAAAACGAGAGCACCTGCAATGAGAGAGGTAAAAAGCGCGGTAATAATAAAGGGCAGAGATCCTTTCCCTCTTGCATCCTTCAATTATTTTCTGTTTGTCGTAAATCTCTCTCATTATGGCACTTTGAGGAATCAACAGTAACAGTGAAAGAGATGAAATAGAGGAGTAAAGGAGTAAGTACAGATGAATATATTTCTTACACCTTATTATTTATACCTCCCACATAAGTATTACTCTTGCCAGGTGATCTTTTGACAACCTGTAGCCTTTTTTCTACTACAGATGATGCATTAGTAAAGGTCTGGTTTGACATATAAACCATTCATTTGGATGATACTGAAAAGAGATGGGTCAACTCAGTGTAACTAAGTCTAATTTCCACTCAGTTCAGTGTCCATAGCTGCAGCACTCTCCGTTGAGTTCTCAGCGAGCCAAAATGCTTGTAAACACAAAGCAAGTGTTCAGAACTAAGGCAAATTGCCTACTTTGGCAATGATCCAACACTGGCTGGCTAGACTCCAAAATGACCACAGCTGCAACAAACTCACAAATTGTGAATCAAGGGAACTGGTGCTAAATCGATTCAGTGCTATCAGACAGGAAGAAAGAACGAATCAGGTTAATTAAAGGAATCTGTCACCACCATGGTGCATTCACTTTAAGACACAACCCTGGGATCCCGCACTTCATTTGAAATGATGGAAGAGTGTATAAGGAGACCTCGTTTGTTTGATCGGCAAATACATTACACATAAAAGGGAATACATCATCACACTAGAAAAAAGCTCTCATCAAGTAACTCTAAATGACATGTAACAATAAAAACACACACAATGAGCCTAACATATACAAAAGAAAAACACCAAGATGAGAAAGACAAAAGGAAAAGGGATGATGACAAATCATAAAACATCAACTTACATGGGACTCCCATATCACTCTTTGCTTTGGTCTCAGTGGACAGCTGAAACAATGAACCTTGGGATGAGAAAAGAAGAGGATGGTGGAATGGATGGAGGAAGGGAGAGGAACACAATGATCAAAATCAAACCAATATTTCAAATAAAATGGGACAAACATGGCAGGACATAGACACACAAATGCATGCTCAAGTTACTTTTCTGTTCTCATACATTACAGCAAATGTAGTTGTCTTAGTCGATACTAAAAATACTCTTCTTAAAGAACAAGGATACACTAAGAAACTCTAGTGTCTGTAAGTCGGTTACTGATGTGTCATGCTGAGTGGTCCACTTAGTCAGACTGAAGGTCTATGACACAGATGAACTGCTGATGTGCTGATGTATAATTGAAGTGCTGGTGTATAATTGATAAAGGCAAGAACAGCAACATGGTGCACTTAAAAGCTTCTTGCCAAACCAGCTGGATGTGCAAGACACCGTGATCAAGAAAAACAGATGAGGTTAATCGGGGTGATTTGAAATATGTATACAAACAGTAACACTCTGTTGACAGGTAGAATATGCCGTTTTCTTTTTAAGAAATGCAGGTGCAAGAATTTAACGGTTAATGTGTTTGTCAGCATATATCATTCAAAGTGTTTATTGGCTTTCTAATCATTTTTGAGTATGGTTCTATTCAATTCCCGTGTTAAATAACTAAGCAGATGACTGTATCTAATAAATGTCATGCTGATTAATGTCAGAATTAGTGATGACAGTAGGAGCAACATGCCATGACAGAAACGTATCATGTTCCAATTATAGCACGATTGTTCCAACAAATATGAAAACATGATGGCAGGAAAATGAAGCGTACATTGTTTGGTAAGAGCCAACAAAAGGGGAAGACACCAGAGATGAGAATAACAAATTAAAGAAAAGGAGAAGAAAACAGCTAAGAAGCAGAGCAGGAATAAAAACAACAATGTGGGGGGATTAGAAGGAACACAAGTGGGAAGAATGGCGCTTTCAATAAGGAGACGGCTCAAATGATGATCTGCAATACCTGCCGACGCGGCTGATGGCTTTGTGTAATACAACAAGAACACAAATCAATGTTCTCTCCTAAAACTAAACTTACATAACAACCACTCTCTCTAGTGATTACTGGTGGTTTTAGAGACCACACAGAAGATTTAATGTGCAGTAGAGGTACTGTTATGTGGCACACACATCCATACTGTACGTATACAGTACACACAAACTCACACACAGAGTAGGTAGTGAGTGAAATGTCAAGGATGACGCAGTGGAGCTCTGACTGAATCTGTTCCAAGAATCCTGATCCTTGTGTCAGAAAAATGTCAACAGGCCAATATATATAAAACAACACAAGCTACTCTTAAAAAAAGTCAGAAGAAAGAACACACACACAGACTCACACTGATAAACACATAAACACAAAGAGACACTCCACGCAGGGCAGAAGTGAGGTCAAATGGATTTCTACCTCCCAAGATTTAACAGGAAAACTTTAGAAAAAGGGCAGCAGGAGATGGGGGAAGAGATGAATAGAAAGGCGGTGTTGGTGGAAAGAGAATAAGAAAGCGAGAAAGAGGAAAAGAGTAGTGAGGAGTGCTTTAAGAGCACAAAGTCAATTACAGTGCACTTTCTGGGAATGATCTCCTTTGAATGAACTGATAGTCAATTTAGAGCATTGACATTATCAGTTTAATCACAGCCATGAAACTCTAGATAGCTACTACTTTTAAAACCAGCAATTCAATTGAGTCTAAAGATGTTATACTGTACATGCAATAGAGATATCCAACTTAAACAATGCTCAAACTGAATTGTAGTTCATATCAGGAGGTTGTGCCAACAGCAGCAACCTCTCTGTCCGTGTAAAGATTACATTTTAAAAATATCTATCATTCAAAAACCAATAAGAAGAAAGGTACAAGATTCACTTCGAGCCTTTTAAAATATACTCTTCCTATAAAATGTTGCGCATGCAGAAAACCCTTCTGACGCACCGACACACACACACACACACACACACACACACACACACACACACACACACACACACACACACACACACACTTCATGGATTCCTGTAAATGCTACAGGAAACAGTTGAAACACTAGTGCCAACATAAAACCACGTCTGTAGAGTCATTTCAAAGACAGAAAATCAATCATGGGAAATGAGCCTAAATCTATACCTCTCTAGGTTTTATCCCAGATTCTGTGGCCATACCTCACCGGCCTCAGGGAATCCTTAGGATGGAGGAGACACACTATATAAACACACTTCTTAGGAGCGGGCAGGGCTCTGCATATACAGTAACTTCTGTCAATAATGTGCCTACAGGCAAAGCTTTTTGAAGGATGATATAATAATATTCCATTGCTCATGACATAGACCATCAATTTAATCATCACAACCACTGCCCTCAGGCTGCAGAGAGAGGTCCCTCACACAGGTAACAGCCCACTTGAAGTCTTTATGCTCAATGATGAAGTATATTTACCTCCTGAACAGAACTCCTGACTGGGTGCTTGGGACTTGTTTAATTGTATTTGACCAGGAATGCCTAGTAAAGATTCAAATTCTATTTTTTGAGAGTGCCCAAACCACAATATGGCAGCTATATGAGTTAAGGTCAGATAAAGCTCTATATGATACACATGGAAAAGGTATATTTGAGAACCATAAGATTACAGAAAAGATATTTGGGTTAATACCTAAGATAATAAAGAAACAACACTTATATCTCGATAACTCAGAAGTACATCTTGGAGACAGACTTGGAGTCACCTTGGACCCAATTTACACTATTAGTCCCGGATCAAAGGGACATAACTTTTCAGTTTGACTGAATGTACTTGCCATATTGGAAAAAACTGATTTCAATATCGACAGACAATCCAGGAAAAAAAATAAAAAATAAAAATAGACATAAATATGGTGGTGCTTAACCCAAGAATGCTGATGAATAGGAATGTGAGATTGCCTCAGCCAATGGGAGGTGATAGATTACCATATAAAAAACGTTTCTAGGCAGGAGACATATTTTTCTAAATATTCAGGTCACGTCATATATGACTTAAAATCCTTATAGTAATGCTTTGTTATAGAAACAATCTTAAAACAAATGCATAGATGATCAGATGGAACAAATCATTCTTGGTTATGAAAGAAATCGTTAAATGGTTGATGTTGTGTGAAAAGAAAAAACAATGGAAATGTACGGCATGATTCAAAACAGAAGTTGGTATGTGTACTTTCAAAATTGACTATTTTTCTGGGCTGACCTCTTTTCTGCACTCTGAAAGGCAGATGCTTGTCTCCCAATTACTCCGAGCAAAGGGAGTAAAAGCACTGTTCCTGAAAGTAACAAATGAAATTGCCTCGGAAAAACTGCTTCTGTATTTGTGCCATTATGACTCACGCACATTTTCCATGCTGTTTTCATTTTCCTTTAATGGCGTAAACAAATATTAATTGCTGGGGGGGATTTTGGATAGTTGTTCCATGTCATTATCTAACATTACTTTCCTTATAAAACATGTGTTTGTGACCTGAGTAATGGACAAGAAAGTGCAAGAGCAATTTACTAGGAAAAAAACAAAACAGGTAGCTCCTGGAGAAAAGCATAAAACCAGAGTGTCTGTATACGAAACTTGAAGTATAGATCATACACTAATAATCATCAATGTAATTGTCAGTGTAAATTCAATCACTACCTTTTCGGCTTCATTTAATCCCGATGTTCTTATAAATTCTCCGGCTATTACTAATCAGCTGATTGTGGGCTTCTACTTTTCAGTCAACCAACCACATTTTGCCATGTTCTACAGCTGTCATTTCAGGCGACATTGTTCCTGCCCTCCTCCACACCACACCATTCACTTCCTGTCTTCATTTCCAGGGCCCAGGTTCAGCTTATCAGAAGTCCACTCGTCATCAAATCCAGATCTTCATCATTCTCTTTGCATCATCCCCATTATCGGTGTCTAGACCCCATTGGACGACTTCACAACCCCTCAAAATATCTGATATCATGATACGCTTAGTCGCCAAAGACTATTCACATGTTCTCTTGTGCACAATACATGTTTGTTTTTTCTCTCGCTATTCAAATACTAAATAACAGAATGTAACATTAAGTTCATTTAAAAAAAATTGAAAAGCTGTCTCAATGTATAAAGTGCTACTGAGTTCTTGGCTGGTTGTACAATGATATTATATTTCATATTTCATACACACAAAACACTTGATCAAGTTTTTTATAAATGCACAGTTTTATTGAACTACCAACTACACAGCTAAACTATTGAACAGGCAAATAAAGGAATACATGATTAACTAGATGAATAAATGATGAATAAATGAGTACAATGAATACAATGATGAGCCATTAATGATAACACAGGACCAGCGTATAGACCAGTTAAAACCAGCAAGTGACCATGGAATAAACAGGGTACCACTAAGCAGGAGTTAATGGGTATTGCTGGATTTGTGGAAGACTATAATTCAACTGATCTTGTTTTATAGTCTGCTAGCCAGGGGTCCGGTACCCCTGGCTTAAACATTGCTTTACATAATTCATATGAAATAATCATCGCATATCTAATTATTTCATATTGTAAAGTATGCAAAGCAAGTGAACGGATGAACTTATATCATTTCATGTGGTCTTTTTTAATGTAAATGAGAGGGGATGAGACAGGACTGTGTGTGTGTGTGTGTGTGTGTGTGTGTGTGTGTGTGTGTGTGTGTGTGTGTGTGTGTGTGTGTGTGTGTGTGTGTCTGAAGGACATTAAATCAACCAGTATGTCCCTTAGTATTCCTACTCCTGATCCTGCTTTTTTGTTCCAATTAAGGGATTGAGATATTCGAAAAAGGAGCAAATCAATGAGCAATCATCCGGAATCTTTACATTCTTTGTTGTCAACTCACTTTGCATACAGAGTCCATCGGTACAGTTCTGAGACAGGAGAACCAGTCCGTCACAGTCCTTTCCTCCGTTTTTAGGTGCTGGGTTGTTGCACTCCCTCCTCCTCCACTGGGTACACTCTGTCCCACAGGCCGACCACTTGCTCCAGTCTGTCCACACACCGTCCACTAGAGGGAACATGGTAAAAAGAGCCAAGAGGATGACAAACTCAAATAAAGAGGAGGAAAAAGAGATATTAAAAAGTATTCAATCCTCAATTCTTTCCCATCTTAATGTTACCTTTACTTAACCAGGATAGGTCTCATTGAGATTACACATCTCTTTTTCAAGAGAGTCCTGGCCCAGGAATATTAACAGCAGTTACAGAGCATTTTAAAAACACACAATCACAACACAGTTACAGACACAGTGGCCTGCTTCAGAATCAGAATCAGTATCCCTTTATTAGTCTCACAGAGGGGAAATTTGCAGCGTTACAGCAGGAAAGAGCCACAGACAGCTTAGTGTTGCATATCTTACATGCGTTAAAAAAGTACTAAGTTATAATATAATAAACAATATGCTAAAAAAAAAGATAAAAAACAAAAAAAGTTACATAATTTTCAAAAATACAGATCAAAAACAAATCAAATCAAGGTCAGTTAGAGTAGCTTTTAGTCTGTTTAATGGGACCAGCTCTCTGAGTTTCAGCCCAACTTGAAGCTGGTTCCATGCTTCAGGGGCAGCATAACTGAACACCATCTTCCCCAGTTCAGCACGGACTTTTGGTAAAGTTAAAAGGAAAAAGTCCTCGGAGCGAAGCCGATAAGGTCCTGTGCATTTTCTGTTTATGTAGATCCTTAAATAAGTTCCTTCATGTCTTAAGTTTAGCTCTTGAAGTTTAGCACACTTAAGAAAAGGATGCAGTAAAGTCAAAGTTTACTAAAAACAAATTAGCACCTAACCTTATAAATCTGGATGATTGGAGTGAACAGACTCACCGGTGCACAGTGTGGTACAGGCCAGTTTCTGAATGGCCTGTCCATCACAAGGCAGTCCTCCGTTCAGGGGGGCGGGGTTAGTGCAGCTGCGGGTTCGTTTCTGGAAGCCCCGCCCACAACGGCTGTTGCACACAGACCACTCCGTCCACGTGGACCAACCACCGTTTACTGTTGCAAGAGAGATCAGTAACTAAATCAAAATACAATATACAATACAAACAACAAAAAATCATGTGTTTTTGGAGAGCATTTTAAGTTGCTGATTTTACGCTTTGTTAAAAGTACTAATTGTAAGGCGCTGTTATTTTCAGCTCTAAAATAAGTGGCATAATATAGAGATCCTTAACACAGCACAATCATCGACGACATCTCACATGCATACTAATACGAACTTATACTTAAGCATGTGTCAAATGTTTTGATATTTTTTTACATGCTAATAACATCGTATGTGCATGTTTCTGTGGAATAAGCTTGCCTCAAATTGCCACTTGAGGAAGTATTTCGAAAATAATTGAACAACAAACATGTTTATAAAAAAGAGATCTGTAATGAAGGAGAATTTAAATGGGCAGCGAGTGCAATACAATCATATTCCATCACAGAGTAATCATATTCAATGGAGAGAGAGAGATCTATTTGTTGTACTGTTGTTTGTTTTGATTGGGAAGTTTAGTGTTAAACATTCTCCTGCACTATTTTATCTGTTTTATTTCGTTCTATGTCCTATATTCATGTTGCACAGTTGGAGGAGCCTGTGACTTAAGTTTTTCATTCCATATCTACACTTTAACTAATGTGCAATAAAGCCTTGCATCTAGTGAGAGTAGCTGGATTTCCCCGCATACGAAAACACCACAGACACACAAACAAACAAACAAACAAACACACACACAAACACACAAACAAACAAACACAAACACATACACACAGAGGATTGTAGCACAATGTTCCGTTCACGCTAACTAATACAAACAGTAAAGGACAGACTGACACGCATACGCCTTCAGATGCAGCTGTCTAGGCATGGTAAACACAAATCAATTAACATACTGCCTGCATATTGCTTAACCCCAAAGTAAGGTGTTTTTTATAATCCGTAGTTCTTTCTTTATTTCTCAGTAAATGGTTTTCCACTTCCTCCCTTGTTTTCTTTGTACCATCTAAATATTTACCTTATCCATGTCCAATTTAGACTTAACTGTTGCTTCATTATTTGGTTTTACTGATATAAATAAATATGTTGCAGCACAAGAACGAGAAGTGCAGACTATAGAGCAGCAACAAAAATAGGTATAAAGTTAAAATGTGAAGTGTATTAAATAGTCTCCACAGCTCTGTCTCAGCCCAGTGGACAGTGCCAACTCCTCTTCTATGTCCAATTAAAAATGAATCTTTAGAGAGTAACAGGTTAAATCAGGTAAAGTACATTTTTCATATTTTCTTTCCTCATTCACTCCGCTGCTTCTCTCCCACTCTGGTCTCCCTGTGTCTCTCCTTTCTCCTCACCTGTCTCACAAACATCTATAGCCACTCCATTTCTTTCCATTACGTTCGTCTGTTTTTTTCCCCGCTATTATTTCACCTTGTCAACAGTGTCAGTCGAGTCTTTGTGGAGCCGAGAAGATTGAACCACAGATTGAACAATCTATTTCTGTAAGGATACATCAGTGTCAAACCACTCCATCTCTCGCTGTCTGTATCGAACACGGACTCATGCACGGTTATTTTTGATTGAAACACTCCGGCTAGTGAATAGACACAGTGTTATACTTGAGAGAAACACTGTGCGTGTGAGGTATGTTTATGAGTTTTGCCATACATTGCTTTTTTCCTCCAAATGTTTCCTATCCTCTCATGTCAGCCTGGCATTTGGTAAAATGGAAATAGAGAAAAAACACGGCAAGAAATACAAGGCATCTTCCTCAACAAGCTTTTTCCTGTCAGACTTCAGCTCGGCTTGAAAACCAAAGTCACACCATTCAGAACTGAGCTTCTCAAAGTTTTTGTTGTTTTTCACAGCTGTTATCATGCCATATGCTGCACAATCCATTTGGTGTTGGTCTCTTGGCTGACAGCAGAGACATTTGGAAAGCCCAAGTGTTTTAATTTAAACCCGAAGGCGTGATTGGTAGATTATAATTGGGTGAGGTCAAGGGTGGTGTGGGAATATAAAGCTAATTACGAAAAGAGCGTGTTGGCATGGCAGTAGAGCTAATTTCATGTGGCAGATGGGGGCTGGGCTGGCTGATCAGATGCATTGTCAGTTAGCTGCAGCTAGCATTTAAAAAATGTCATATATGTGAAATATTCAGACACAAAACATGTCACCTACTGTACACACAAGAACACGGACAAAGTTAAAGCTTTTTAGTGACAATATAATGTTTTCGTTCACACTCACAAATACCGACATGTTTGAAAACTGACCGTAAACAATAATCGTCGCTGTAGTGCTTCGTCTTTTGGCCACGATGTTCTTAGCCACGCAGGTGTAGTTGGCTGTGTCCGACAGACGGGCCTGTTTGATGATCAGGTTGTGGTCGATGGTGATGTAAAAGTTTCTGTCCTCTGCCGGGTCAATTATCTCTTCGTTCTTCAACCACTCCACCTGGGAGAGATAAAGACAGAAGAACATCAGATTCAAAGTTTCTCTACAATGTTACACGCAAAGAGAAACGATCAGAAAAAGGTATCTCATGAGAATAAACAGTCATTTGTGTTATTGTGTAATAACAATATTGAGCTTTTGACTTGATTTTATGGTGGAAAGGTGTATTTCTGCTATAAAGTCAAACCAGATTACAATATGTTTTTTGTGCCGCTATATTATATATTGCCAGCTAAAATAAAAGTATAGGATCAGTCTATAATCTTGTTTTCACAACTGACGGTCTTGAAAGTGGTATTTATCTTAAAGAGTCTATAATCAAGTTGAGGGGATTTTGTATAATCCTGTTTGTCCAATGTTTCCAGATTTGAAAAAAGTTACAATGAAAGATCTTATAATAGGATGCTGGTGTAATCTTATTTTCAATTGTTCCCAACAAAAAAGCTTTGAGGATGTGTCACAAATCTGAGTAAATAAATACAACCTGAAAGAAAGGAAACTGTGGCGAACACCAAGGCATTCTTGAATTTGCAATTATTTATCCTCTAGATAACACAGAAGATGCAATAACACACTGGTACAATTATTTTCATTTATAGTAGGTTTTAAAATAAAATACATTTGAAACAAGCCAATAAACACACTTTTAGGGTCGAAAATACTACTAATATACAATACATATTGAACAATGAAATGTTTTCCAACCCGACAAGGTTAATTTAGCAAGTCACAGAAACATACATTTGTAACAGCAAAGACCCACATCTTATGGGTCGTTCACAATATGGGTGGCAGTGCAGAAAAGGAGGACAATGTCCTGAACATATGCTTCCGCAAGGGCAGGACAGCGGGAAACTATCCTATTTACGAGCCTAATCACATTTCCTGAGTGCTGTATTTACTGGTCCAAAGCCTCATAAACTCAGCCTGTCCAAGCTTTATGGCAAGCACATAAATGTCCGAGCCACGTTGTTTGATTCACGTTGTTTAATTTCCTCCTCCCTTCACATTAGGAAATGGGAATCTCAGATGCAGAAAAGAGGAAGTTCAGTGTTATTCTTCAGCTTACTCAGCCTCGGCTGTCAGTCTTCTCTCAGTTATTCTACCTGCTTCCCTCTCTGATCTTTAGAGGTTTGGCAGTGCTCTTTTGGCCATGGGGCTCACTGTAGCCTTGCATTCTCAATCTTAAGTGAGATGCTGTGTGACCTTTTAGCTTCTATTATAAAGGAAAGGTTATACTGGAGGGAAAATACGACAAACAAACCACAACACACGTATATATACAGTTCAGTGCGAATGTTCAGGCAACGAGTTCATGCTCGAAATACAAGTGCAAAAAAGTGTAGGTGCTAAACAAATACAAATACAATGTGTGTAATACAGACTTTCATTCATACATGCTCAGAATAGTATAATAAGCAGTGGCCAAAGAGGAACATAGCGCTGCTCTTTTGAGATTCAAGGTCACTGGTTAAACTACTTAATCATAGAAACCTTCCACACTGAAGATGACACAGCTTAACATAATATCTTCAGCAAAACACTGTTAAGTTAAAATTGCAACCACATTGCCTCCTTAAGATTGTTTCAGGAACAACTGGCAGTTTTCGCATGGACTTAACTGAATTATAAAAGTGTGCAGTCATCAGAGAGGGTCTCAACTCTGACACAAATGTGCCTCTCATTGATCAAAGCACTGTCATAAAATATCTGTAGCTGGCCATAAACCTGCAACCCAGGGGACATGGAATAATGGAGGCTGAACAAAATTTAAAATGAATCAAAAATAAAAACCCATCCCATGTGAAATCTCACTTTAAGCTACCACATGAGCATAGAGGGACTGCAAATGTGTCCTGACTTTATTCATCTGTTCTTGTGCAAGTTGGAGTAAATGGATCATATCATATTTAATTCAATGTTTTCTCTTTACTATCTTTGCATTGCCAGCGCCAATTGGGAATAGCCACAACTTTACTACATATAACATTCCCAACAGTTGTCTGTTGGGTTGATTTGGGGACTGCGTAAAATATTCAAGCACACAGGGCAAGTCAATGTAATCCCCCTTGATCCCCCCCCCGAAAATGTATGTTATGGCCCATTACGCTGCTAGGAATATTGATTTGAATAAAGGCAAGACTTGAGGGCCATGATTAAAAAGGTCCACCATGACACAGCTTAGTCACTTATTCTGATAGAAAAGCAAACACAAATCTAAAGTGAAGTAAATCCACATTATAAAACAGAGTATGAGTCATTCTCAAGCCTCTTCAAACACGTATAATAATAATAATAATAAATTCGATTTTTAAAGCACTTTTCATTGCTAACAGCAATCCCAAGACTCAACACTCAGATTTAGAGCTAACTAAGATTTAGATGTTGGAACTGCAGACTGCTGTTCATATATTGAACCATTTGATTCGCTTCTTTGTTACTTAATTTGAGCCAACACTGTTAATAAACTACTGCCAGTCAACAAAATCCATGAGGACAAACTTGTCTTCCTCCTTTGAAAAAGTAACTCGAAGTCCACTTTCAATTAACCTGGGGGACCTCTGCTTTATGAATTGCTTACTCGATTCCTTCTGCAGTGGTAACACAAATGCACAATAGATAGTTGATAGTGTGTGTGTATGTGTGTGTGGGCCTTTGTTAAAAGATAACAACTTTAGAATGTTTTTCTAAGTAATCCATTAAAAGTACTCCATAAAATGAAGAACACATACAAGGCTGTGATCAAACATGACTTCCATTGTAGGGATTATGTATTAATGTAATCCGTTGTTCATGTAATCAATTCATGAATCATTCTAGCTTGTGCCGTGAGCTTAGTGATTGTTACAAAATGTCATTAAAGCATAACATTATATCTGAGATGTAGGATCACATCATGTCCCATCAAAATACTCATACTAATACAGGCCTATGATGGCAGCTGATATTAATAGTAGTTGTGTGATGATGTAATGAAAATAGCCACAGTCTTTGATGATGCCTGAAGGTGGAAGCTTGTGAGACTGATGTGTGCTCTGCTGGGCTCAGACAAAGAGACCACATGTGGTGGCTATACTACCACTGCCACCGCATCATTAGCCACAGCTGGTGTCAAAGAGAGAAATTGTGTGTGTGTGTGTGTGAATGGCAAAGGGTGGCTGATTGGATCAAGCCAACCTCAGGGGAGAATGTGTATTTGTTATTTTAACTCTTGCCCCTGCATCACCTCTGTCTCCCCACACACATACAGTACACGCAAGCATGCACGCATGGACACATGCACACACACTCACACACACACACACACACACATGACAATACTTCAAAAGCTTGCATCATGTGATCACAAACACCATACGACAGCTTTGACATACTAAAAATGCACAAACATAAGCAATGCTATTGTCCTCTGTTCAAACTGTAACAGGATTTAAAAAGGTTCAAGAAGAGTCCAATCCTTTTTTTCCTTTAGACAAGGAAATGAAATGGCTTTCTTTTCAAAGGGATAGAGGCTTTGTCCGATAAATTACACACTTCCTTTGTTCATGTTTTATTTCGGCTTGACCCAATGACCGAAACATACATTTTACCTACAGGTATAATTCAAATCTTGAGCTCCTGAATACAAAGATAAAAGCATATTTGTCTTTCCTAAGTTCTTCATAATGTACGTGCTTCTAGTGCTGGGAATCTGCAATTGATATAAATGTGCATTAAAATGTGATACATTCTAATAAATACTCCTATTTGTTTTCTTACTCACAACTTAGGTTCAAAAGTCCTATTTTGTGTTGTGCAATATCAAAACCGTAGAAAAGTGTAATGTATTGCTCTATCTATTGAGATATTCATCTTTCTTTGGCAGTGGAACAGAGGCTTGGTCTCATGCTGTGCAAGATAAAAGTAGGCCAAGATAAAGTATAGAGATATATACTCCCTTTTGTAGCTCTGGAGAGCAGCACAAAATGTTTTGAAACGCAAAGCTTTGCTGCATATCTGCGACTGAGAGCAGGAACATCATAGTCACAATGTGTCACAAAGACAAAAACAGTGTAAATCTTGCAAAAGCAAAACAAATGGCAGACCACAGAGCAAGAAGTAAGATAAAAAAGCAAAGAATATCTATGACAAATGCTAAAATATGACATGCTTTGGAGAGCCACTACAAAGGGTCTCATATGGGAGTTGATAACAGCGAAGAGATACAGGGTCTTTGGGTAGAATCTGCCACTGAATCACAACATTCATTTTTCAGAGTAGCAGCAGGCGCAAACACACAGAGACACAATAAGGTTATGACTAAACACAAAATACAGCAGTTACAATAAAATCTGATTCTGCAATCGGAGACATGCAGGGAAATCGAGCTGTACTATGTGTGTGTGTGTGTGTGTGTGTGTGTGTGTGTGTGTGTGTGTGTGTGTGTGTGTGTGTGTGTGTGTGTGTGTGTGTGTGTGTGTGTGTGTGCCTGACTTTAAATCACTGACGTGTTAGGATAATTATCCTCTTGATTAGCTATAGTATCTGGATCCCTTTAGCAGCACAGATGAGTGGGTTAAAGAGCTACCAAAGTGATTAGTCTACCTATATGTGGGCGTGGACTTAGTATGCGTGTGTGCGACCAAGTATTAATAATCCCAACCCCCAACCTCCACCGCCCACTCCAGCATGCTCTGCCACCTCATAGCATGGCAAGCTGAGACCAAGGTGTTGGAGGAAGAAGGGACATTAAAACAGAAAAGGACGCAGAGTTCTCTTTGTATCAACTTATCAAATGAATGTAACTTGGGCAGTGCATTTATTTTTGAATCTCTTTAAGTAAAGAGGGGAAACACACCAATACATTAAAACATTTTCAAACCAATTTAGCACATCTTTGTATGAATCACACTGAGGACGTGCCATAAGGAGAAAATAAACAGATTGCATCCCAGATATACCAACGCAACCCTGTCTCATAGAAACCATATTGATATAATGACTTATTTGTTTAGCCAAGC